TTTATACTGTGTATCAAATATAATAGTAAGGAACCATGACACCATTTAACTTGCATGTACTTCACCTTCCCAAGTTATTTTAACATGAAATAAGCATTTTAGTCAGTATTATGACACTCAAGTATTAATGCATTGTGAATGACTGAAATTTCACTGCTCAAGAGTTTTTATTACTACAATTCCATAACACGATATTAGTACTAAACATCAAGTTTTATCTAATATGTAGGGAAATAAGAAAAATACAGAATTCACTGGCATTTGTTTTTATGTCAGTATACAAAAAATGCAAAAACATTCATGTAAATTACATAATGTCATACATATGGATGTTAAAATGTGTATTAGTAAAAATCAAAAGTTAAGTAATTGTTTTTATACTGTATGTATGTATTGTTAAGTGTACATGTTACATGTGTGGAGAGAGTAGATTACATAAAATATTGCTTCTTTACATAGTTACATGTATGGTGGCTCAGCAAACCAAAACAAAGAAAATAAAACATTGTTGGTTAAGGTAAATTGCACATTCATCTGTTGTATGTTATGCTAAATGTATGGTGCTGTTAATAGAATTGTGAAAACAAGTCACAATATTAGGAACATTTTACAAGTATTATTTCATAACTATAATATATGTATCTGAATATAATAACTTATTGCTGCATTAATATCACCAAAAGCTACATTAAAGATTAACATTTATTTGTACTATGCCTAACATTTATGGGACAAATTGTTTCATACGAACCTGCAAACATATGCAAAAAGCACAAAATTATTTTCCTATACTAACAAATTGTGAATTTCTCAAATTTTGTTCATTACATAAACTTGCTTGTACTCTTAAAAGAATGTACAAAACAAATGTAAGACATGAAATTTATTGTTTGCTGAAAATATTAGCGAACGACCACTGTACAAAGACAGAACCAAGTATATGTACGTCTCTATCAGTGTGTGTGTGTGTGTGTGTGTGTGTGTGTGTGTGTGTGTGTGTGTGTGTGTG